AGGAAAATAGGGGGCCCGTGACAGCTGTCACCGGCCCTGTTCGCCACTGGTGGCGCATAAACTGAACTTTGGTCAACAGCAAATGTTTCTACTATAAATACCATAGACTTCCAAAAAAAACTAAAGTGTGTTTATAAGAATAACATACTAGTACAGGTAAAATTATACTAAAATACCATTAGAAAACATAAAAATTAGTCCATTCATGAAACTTGCAGGAAACGTAGTAATTACCATTAGGTTTTGAAATCTGAAGAGTCCCTAGTGATTGTGGGGGTGGAAGTACCATTTTATGGGGGTAGTGATTTTGAGAAATTTTTTTTTATGTTATCCAAGCAAGTGAGGTGTCGTTTCTATGTTTCTTAGGATGCAAAATCGAAATATAACAAAATAAAAGCAATACAACCAACAGTTTATTAGAACATGACTAATTTTTTTATAAAAAACTAAATATAACAAATTAATTAAGGTAAAATAATCCAGTTAATATCAATTACTGTATTACAAAATTGACTATGAGTCTGTGTCATATGTTAAAGTTGTGAGAAAAATTAACCAAGAAACTGGTAGTTTCGCCTCTTTAACCACCACGTGTCATATTGTTCATCAGCTACTTATGCATCTTCACCATCCATGGAATGGTGAGGTTCTCTAACTCGTTCTTCTCCATCGTCGTCTTGACTTAACACGGACGGCTAAGTATGTGAAGCAAAAATATTTCAGTTCTGGCGGTGATCCTGCAACTTAGGGTGAAGATAATATATAAGACCAAGAATGTAAAAACCACTCGGACCCAAATTTTAAGGACCTTGGTCGCCCGTAATGACGTCGTCAATATGTTGATCGTAAGAGGATGCTGGGTCGCTATGAATTAATAAATGCCTTAACCGATTTTAATGAATTTTGGCATACAAGTGCTTGAATACGATATCTAATCCCAGTTTGTCAATGGTCGAGTTTGATAAGGCCATTTAAAAATGGCGGCCGTTAATCACTAAAATAATTAAAAAAAATTTAGTGTTTTGTTTTATCAACTCTCTCTAGAAATCTGCAGCAATCTTTCATTTTCCTTGCAATGAAAGGTTGTGATGCCGTTTCTGCATTTCATGGAATAGGCAAAATACCCCCACCGCAGCAAACCTGCAGATTAAGTGAGTTACCATTTGCCTGATTTGATTTTAAATTAAATCTATTTCAATAACTTTAAGTTTAATTAGTGTTGACTAGGTTTGCTGCTACGGGGAGGGTAATAAAGTGTGTTTTTTAATTAAAATATATATAGGTTAAAATAAATAAATTTTCCAAGTTTTATCAAAATATAACCAATAACTAGCAAAATATCCAATCATGGTATTCAAAATGGCTTAGAGAGAAATTCGAAAATTTTAGGTTTAGAGGGGCAAACATGAGAAAACCCAATTTTTACCCCATAAATCCCCCAGAAAACCCTGTTCTCATGGTTCGATCATGCTGGTTCGCAAACTCGTTCGAGTAAACTTAGGTTTACACGTTTTTACCAAATTTCGTCAACATTGGGTCATTTTTGCTTGAGTTATCGTTCTAACGTTCTTAAAAAAAGTACACGTCTACAGTCATTAACGCTGTTAAAGTTTGATGTTATATCATATAGAAAAGTACAAAAAATCTTTAGATTGATTTTAACGAGTTCGCAATCCAGCATGGGAACGGGGCTTTGGGGGGGATTTATGGGGTCAAAATTGGGTTTTGTCATGATAAACCCTCTACACATAACATTTTCCAATTTCTCTCTAAACAATTGAGGATACCATGATGATTTTGAATACCTTAAAAACCAATAATTTTGTTTATTGAAGTGTTTTTGTACGAATATTGGTTACCTACCGAGAAAATTCCAAAATTAATTGTAAATTTATCATTCTCATTTTATTCTTATGGAGAATAAGTAAAATGTTGTAGTTTGCTCGTTTAAGGATATATTTTGATAAAACTTGGCAAATTTATTTATCTTGACCTTGGCTATTAATATTTCAATAAAAAAACACACTTTATTATCCTCTCCGTAGCAGCAAACCTAGGTACTAATTCAACTCAATTGAAATTTATTTAATTGAAAATAAAATCAGGCAAAAGGAAACTCACTTAATCTGCAGGTTTGCTGCAGTGGGGGTATTTTGCCTATTCCAGGAAATACAGAGACGGCATCACGACCTATGATTGCAAGGAAAATGAAAGATTGCTGCAGATTTCTGGAGAGAGTTGATAAAACAAAACACTAAACAATTTTAAATTATTTTAGTGATTAACGGCCGCCATTTTGAAATGACCTAATCAAACTCGATCATTGATAAACTGGGATTATATATTGTATTCAAGCACTTGTAAGCCAAATTTGATTAAAATCGGTTTAGGCGTTTTGGTATTACAGTATAACCAATTCATAGCGACCCAGCACCCTCTTACGAGCGCCATATTGATGACGTCATTACGGGCGACCAAGGTCCTTAAAAATTGGGGTCCGAGGGGTTTAACATTCTTGGTCTCATATATTATCTTCACCCTAAGTCGCAGGATCACCACCAGAACGGAAATATTTTTCTACTACCCATACTCACTTAGCTGTCAGTGTCAAGTCAAGACGACGATGGAGAAGAACGAGTTAGAGAACCTCACCATTCCATGGATGGTGATGATGCATCAGTAGCTGATGAACAATATGACACGTGGTGGTTAAAGAGGCGAAACTACCAGTTTCTTGATTAATTTTCCTCACAACTTTAACATGTGACACAGTCTCATGTTCAGTTTTGTAATAATTGATATTAACTGGATTATTTTACCTTAATTTATTTGTCATATTTAGTTTTTCATTAAAAATTAGTCTTTTTCTGATAAACTGTTGGTTGTATTGCTTTTATTATGTTATATTTCGATTCTGCATCCTAAGAAACATAGAAAACGACACCTCACTTGCTTGGATCCCATAAATAAAAATTTTCTCAAAATCACTACCCCCATAAACTTTAACCCCCATAAAATGGTACTTCCACCTCCACAATCACTAGGGACTCTTCAGATTTCAAAACCTAATGGTAATTACTTCGTTTCCTGCAAGTTTCATGAATGGACTAATTTTTATGTTTTCTTAGGTGAGTTTTACCTGTACTATACTCTAAAACAAGCGTGTGTACGGGCAAACTTTAATTTTTGTCCAAGGATTTTACATCTTTTTGTTGAATATGGGGTATTTGGTATTTGGACACGAGAAATCGATTGGAGTAGGTCACAACGCTGGGAAAAATCGGGTTTCTGTCCAACAGCCCTTGAAAGTGCCCATGTTATCGACAACACCTTTATGTAGCGGCAGTTAACAAATCAGCTGTTACTGGTTATTTTTCATGTCATAATTTGATTTTATTTATAAATAAAAATAACTGCATTGGTTAGTTTGGAATAAAAATTTTAACGAACAGTTGTATTTAGTTAGTTTTTTATGTACATATTAGAATTAAATGTTTTCAAGGTTAATTTAAAGCGTCAAAGCGAAACTATTTACAGAATCTGCAAGGGAGAAAAGCTAAAATCGGTCATCGAGAAACAAATTTGACCACTTTGTCTACAACCAAACCAGATCCAACCAGCTCATACATTTCACCAGATGTCTCAGAACCTTGGCAAGTCGCGCATCAAAGAATGATGAAAGTGGTGAAATAATTTCAGATCTTATGGCCGAGCAGGAGCGTCGACGAATCGCTGCTCTACGTTAGGTAGAACGTGAGCGCAGTGATGTCTGAAATTCCACAAACCTATAAAGTCGCCAAGTCGGTGGATATTTTATTGAATACACCCACATTGCAAACGGATAGTCGGAAATTTGAAATACCGTGCAATACTTTAATACTTTTTAATGAAATGGCGACCATACAAAGTAGGTATTTTAAGCCTAGTATGAATGGAGATGAGTGTAGGATGAGTGGCGTGATCTTGTAGTCTTGTTAGTGACTAAGGATGATGTTGGCCGACTAAGGCCAGTAGCAATGGCTGAAACTTACAAAAACTGTGTTCTATATCAATATTCATGATATTTAAACTTCATCCTTAATGAATCCTAGACCGCTGTGTGTACATAATAAAGCTAAAATAAGTTAAATATATTCGTTTCTTCCAATACAAAATCATTAAGCACAACACAGAGAAGTAATATAAAAGTAAGCAATCAGTAAATATATTTAATATTATCTACTTAAAATTTTGAATAAACAGATATATAACTTTATCCCTCTGATTTACTTTACATAGTACAGGCATCTTTAGAACAATGCGATAGAGTTACTACAATGGTTCAAAACGATGGTTAAAATACTACAATGGTTAAAATGTTCTCTTAAAAGATGCCTAGTATATGTATGTATTTTACATCTACTTTAACTTACTTTTTTCATTCATTCTTTTCCAAAATTTAGATCTGACCCAACAAAAACACTTTTTTGTCCTGCAATGATGCAAAATCAGTATGATTCAGATTTTCTTAATATATTTAACCAAGTCATTCAACGTTTAGTCAAAATAAAATACTGATTCCATACGTGGATATTAATATGTATTTAAATCCCGGAACTTTCATAAACACAATGGGATTACAGTTTTTTTTTTTTTTTTTTTTTTTTTTTTTTTTTTTTTTTTTTGTATTAGATACAGTACAAAAATTCATACTAAATTTAGATAGCAAAAACATGAGACAGAGTTTGGACTAGATATCATATCCTCCTCTAATACAAGAACCCAGCAAAAAGAAAAAGAAGTGGCAAAGCCGCCGTCATAGCTTACAAAACAGCTTTAGCACTAGCTCATGTGGAGCGTCTGTGCAATAATAATGTTTACACTTTTTTGTTATTTGTGACTGTTTACAGGGAAATAGGCTGGTGAGTGTGTCGTTGCCACGTTTTTTGACACACCCTTGTGTTAGAGAAGACTATGATGATTCATATATACAAAACTAACCTTATATTTCCAATGTTAGATTACAACCAGTGTTGTTTAACAAGATCGGCAGCCTTCTCTCCAATCATGATGGAAGGAGCGTTGGTGTTGCCTCTCACAATGTCTGGCATTATAGAAGCATCAGCAACTCTGAGGTGTCTCACCCCCTTCACCTGCAATTGAGGGTTGACCACGGACGTAGGATCATCAGCAGGTCCCATCTTGCAGGTGGAGGTTGGGTGGTAGCATGTCGTCACAAAGTGTTTAAGAGAACAAATCCTGAAGTCTCTTGAAGACACCACATACTTGGAGCAAGCAGGAGCAACGATTTCATGAAACTTGGTGTCCAACGATTTCATAGCTTTGGTTGACGCTAGATTTGATAGAAATTCAGTGGCACGTAAAAGTGTTTCTATATCACGTGCATCGGTCAAAAAATTTGTAACAATTTTAACTTTATCTTCTGGATTTTTAGATCTCAACAGTATCCGACCTCTGCTATGAGGCTTCAATAATGTCGGCATTACTGGTGTTACAAATCTTTTTGAATTTATATCCAGGAATAATTTAATGATATCATCCCGTATACCAAACATTGCCAAGGCATTTGTGAGTGATGAGGTGTTGTTTACATCAATATCGTAGTGGTAGGTTTGAATATCAGGGATGTTAGAGTCAGTATCAACAGTATTTATGAACCCAGAATAGCTCAACATACCTATACTTGAGAGTTGACTGCTAGAAGGTGACATTAAATATTCGTACATATGGTCAGTCAATCTCTGGCGTGGTCTTGAAAAATTGTATGAAAAGAGCAGTCCAGCCATCAACATGTGATCTTGTAGGTTCTGCCCGACTGGCAAATCTTCAATTACATCAATTCCTAACTCCTCCAGATGTTGTTTTGGCCCAATTCCTGAGAGCATGAGAAGCTGTGGAGAATTTATAGCTCCTGCAGAAATAATCACTTCTTTCTTTGCTTTAACAGTTATCTCTTTATTATTATTATTTAAAAACTTAACTCCCTGTGCTGTCTTGGATTGATAGTCGAACAAAATTTTTGTAGCTAATGAATTGCGTGAGACTTTGAGGTGTTTACGGTTGTTAAATCCTTTTAGGAATGCCTTGGCCGTGCTACATCTTTTACCTCCAATAATTGTTCCCTGCAACTTGACAAATCCTCTTTGAGATTCACCATTACAGTCGTAGTTTAGTTTGTACCCAAGTTCTTCCATTCCTGCACCGTATACCTTAAGTAAATCTTCTATACTGTCATTTTTAAAAGACCCAATAGTCAAATAACCACCTTCATCATGATAATATTTATAATTATCGTGTCTCAAAACTTCTTCGGCTTCTATATTTTCTGACTTTTTGAAGTATTTAAGCACGCTCTCATAGTCCCATCCTTCATTCCCAGCCCTAGCCCATCCATTGTAATCTTCTTTGTTTCCTCTGACATAGATCATGCCATTGATTGTGCTAGAGCCTCCAAGAACCTTTCCTCTGGGCCAGTTGCAGCTGTTATTCACCATTGCCAAACAATTGTTTTCCTCCGGCTCAGTCTGATATTGCCAATCATATGAAGTCTTTTGCAGCGCACCATACAATCCTGGGATTTCTGTAGATTTTTCTGGATTTCCTCCAGCTTCCAGCAGCAGGATTCTCCAGGAAGGTACCTCGGATAACCTGTTTGCAATCACAGATCCTGCAGATCCTGATCCTACGATGATGAAATCAAACTCTTCCCCATCCTGAGGTCTATAGTGGTCTGGATAATCTGATGGGTTTGCCAATGAACGTTCTGCTTCTTTGACCGATGAGTGTATGTCCTGTATTACGTAGCTGGCCAGGTCTTCTGGATTTTGGACTGTTGAACATGTCTCTGGTAGAATGGATGGAGTGTCCAATCTTACTGCCCTATGGGAAAGTTACTCTTTGTTAAAAAAATTTTAGAGTCCTGGTTATCCAACCCAAACCAAGCCTAGGAAAGGTTGGAATGGATGATAATGTATAATAACCCTGTTGTAAACTTGTTAAGACCCATCAAATCAACCGAGTTTCACCATTATCAAAACTATTTGAGGATTTAATTTTGTGCTCAATTGAAACCACTAATCTAGGCTCTAGGTCTTATCATAAGACTTACAATAATAGTTTATTCGCTATAGGAGAAGTTTGCTATAAAACACAAAATTATAACCAATGAATTTTGTGGTGCAACCTTAAACAGTGTGGTCCGTCAAAACAGTTAAGGCTCGATTATAAAATAATCAACTCGGCTTTATAAAATAAAGGCGAGTTTTCAAGCTACTAGCTGACAGGTAAAATGCAAGCTTTATGTGTGAAGGACATACAAACATTTCTAAAGCAATTCCTCAAAAATCTTCAAGTTTAACTGTTATTGACTAAACGTCACTTGTGCATGAGCAACACTGTATAAGTACACTTGCCAGTCACTCGCATAGCTATTTGTAAACTAGTTTACGGCGAGGTTCACAAAGCTGCGGAAGTGGCATGTTAAGTCGCCAGCAGACTATAACTTTTCCCAGAGCTTTTCTAACAGCAGCCATAAAGCAAGTGAAGCTAGTACACTGGGCTAGTTTACAAGCTGCATGTAAATAATATGTAGCTTTTAATCTTGCCAAATATGTACATAACCCATATTTGTTTTAAGAAGTTGCCGACACTATTTCATCTTGCATTCGGCCCGTTCACATAGACCACAGGTCAGTGCGTCCTGTGCTTAACACTCTACAAAAAAATAAAATCTAGCATTCATGGCTATACTGTATTAGTATTTAGAATAATGTTTACCTACTTATATATATACTTTACCTACTTTGTAAAAAACTAAAAGAATATTGATAGTGAAGAAAAAGTTAATTTTATAAATGGCATCCATCCGTTTGACAAAAAAATTGTAATTCTTAGCTTTAGGGCAGAAAGGAGTAATTAACCAAAAACTATATTCCCGATTTGGCTCCTTTCTGTACAGTATATTGAAATAGCAAAATTAAGATCACTGGTCTAAATGCCTCCTCCCTCATCTTAATCATCTAACAATTGTGAGTTTTTTTTTTACTTTAACTAACTTTAACTCCTAAATGCAGGTACCAATGGGTATTCTGTATTCATAACATGTTAATATTCAAATTAAAAACTTGTTCTTACCCATAAGCACAGTTGTAAACCACAGAACAAAAAACAAGTATTAAAATATTATTCATTTTCACCACATACTAATTTAGTAACTAAACGTATTAAATTGATCACAATACCATTCTCATTTCTCACCAAATCTTTTTAAGACAGTTCCCACATTTATTATCTCCATTAGGAACAAACATAGATTAACTAATTAAAGAGAAAACAGAGAACACCAGATAAAGCACTAAAACTTGAACAACTTTTGACTTTGCGCTGTATTTGATTTATGGTCATTATAAGAGTACCTATTATTATTTAATATTATAAGAAACCATGTTTATGAGTTATTATTTCTTTTTGGCAAATTCTCTTATGAAGGGAAACATTAATTACATAAGGCCAAAAATGTTCTTTTATTATTTGGTAGGTCCGAAATAAAACAAACCCGCCATTACCTTACTTGTACTTAAGGCCTCTTAGAATAAAATAGACTGATCATATACAATTGTATGTATAAAAGGTTTGACTATCCATAGTTTCTTAACACAAAAAATCTGTCTAAAAGCTAGTGAGAGAACGCTATAAAATATTTACTTCTGACTACCCGCAACGTGCTACAATTTACATTATTTCTTGAGAATAAAATGAATAGAAAACATCAAAATCCCAAACCGCAGTAAACCAAATGAAAATGATCCAATGAAAGGTTTGCGTAGCCTTGAAAAAAAAGGGTTACAATGAGGTGTTTTAATTTATATCACACCACTATTGTGTGGTCTACTATAGGAATGGTATAAGCTAAATAGATGCACTAAATGCACATTTTGTATGAGTAGCTCAGAGGAAGTCAGTGGCGGATCTAGAACAGTCACAAGGGGAGGGGGGCGAACCGGGGGAGGGGCTGGGGTGTTCGGGGGTACCCCCGAAAAGTTTGTGTAAACCAAGTCTCTAAAATTGCAGTTTTATACCATTTCTTTGTCCAAAGTTAGTGTGACAAATTATTTTACGCAATGTGCATGCACTACTGTATTACAGTAAAAAAAGGTGTATGCAGTAAAAAAATATATATATGTATGCCCGAGGGGGGGGCAGTCGGCCCCTTCGCCCCCCCCCTCTGGATCCACCACTGGGGAGGATCGCCTGTGTATTTGTTGAGGAAGGTGATGTTCGCCACACCCTTGGCCAAATAAAGGAAAACTACTATTTCCTTACAGTGGGACCTATATTCCGTTGTGGAGGTGATGTTCCACAGTGAATAAAGCCAAGTTGCCTTCTACATTCATCTGTTTTGTTTAAAGCAAACACAAGGGATATATTACCCTATAGGTTTCCAACAATAAGTCCTATACTATTAGTTTGCAAAACTTTTGGTCCAAGCATATAGTCATCCAAAGTCCGAAGCGAGCCGCAGCTGTTTCAGACATTTTTTGTGCACTAGAGTGTGTGAATATTGCAAAACTGTCAGTTTGCACAAGGGTGTTAGTGAGTAATGTTTACATTTTTAATTGACCAAATCCAGTGACAAATCCAAACAATCCAAAATTGGAAGAATATATTATTGAGATGCTAAATAACAGTATGTCTGAGGAGAATATTATAATTGGCATTGAAAATAATAGTATGCAATGTGGTGGATATGATGAACCTGAAGAACAGTGTTGAAACATTGTGGAAGTTTTGGTGGGGATTAGGGATGCAGACATGGCAGCTGAACTGAGTGGTTTAGCTCTACTTCAGAATGATAGATACATTGTTATGGATATTTTTTATTTATGGATATACTAGCAGAGTACCCGTCCTTCGTACAGGGTTGGCATACAAGTATAAAATGCTTATTACAGTTATGGGAGAGGACACGGTTTAAGAAAATTTGGTCTTTTAGTTTATAAGTTATCATCCTATAATAGTGTAGCACACATCTACCATAGCCAGCCCTAATGTTCTACCACTGCACCTAAACCATAGAAAGAAGTAAATTTCTCATTGTCTGCCACAACTTTTTGACCTGGTATTTAATTCAGCCCTGGTAGGGTTAAGAATGGTTGACTAAAATTAATTTTTTAAACTCACAAACACTCCTAAACTTTAACAGAAAAATTTAATATTAAAATAATTAACATGAGAATAGTATCAACAAATAGGTATTCAAAATAAACAATCTTTTGTGGGGCTATGACACTCTAAATATTACTGTTTGAAAGTAAACTTGGTCATAGCCATGTCAAGATTCTTTACTCATAAGTATGCATGGCTGAACATTAAAATACTGAAAATATAGTGTCAAATAAACTAAAACTATTGCCGTGCTTAAAACTAAGACAAAAACCATTTTCAATTCATCTAAAGAGGACAAGGACAGGTCTACTAAATATATCCTGACTTTTTTTTAATATTGGGGTTTAGTTCTGTTTTAATGTTTAAAGGAATTTATTTTTGAAATTCATGTCCTGCATTGAATGTCTTTTTTTGACAAGCTCTAATTTATGATTTCTAATTACAAAGTTATTTTTGTTATGTGTAATCACAGACAAGGGAAACAAAAGCTTTAATTTCCTTACTCAATGGTGAAATCTAGTTGATTGGTTTATATAAACTAGGTGAAACCCGTCGAAATCGACGGATACTTTCAAGGCTTACGCTAATTCATCTAACTGCGATAAATTGAGTGAAATTAATGAAATTATACAAATTTAGAGAATTTAGCATTGTTTAAAGAGTAATAAGTGTAAAAACAATAATGATATTTATTGCGTTAGTTCCTAAATATGGTTGATCATTCAACGAATAAGATATTTCCCATACTTTGGAAGAACCTTTAAATAGAATTAAAACGGTATTGGTGGATCTTTTTTATTATTTAAAAACTTTCCCGATTTCATCAGTGTAATAAAGATTAATCTATGATTTTATTTGAGAGAAAATATCTGCTTGTTGAGGAGACACGTTCTAACTTGAAAGGGAGGTCCATCCGTCACAGTGTAAGTTTGATTTTTCCTTCGTCACGTCGCATCAGTTCATATCGTAATTCTGTGCCAATAAATTACCCTCTAGTATAGTTTTGAGAAATCGGTTGTGGGGTTAATGTTAAAGCTAAAAGTAACTTCTGCACTTGCATTATTTTGTATTGTATTACACAATCGAAGATTTTTCGAATGATTGAAAACATGTATGACAATAATCTCACTAACCTCTGATGATCAGTCTAGAATAATATGATAAAATATAGCCAAAAGTGGTGAAAAAGGCAGACACCAACCCGTACAATAGATATAAGATAGTTCAGTAAGAAATAATTATTGTTAAATAAGAGTTACTGTGATAAAAGGATTTTCCACTGATTTCGTAATGGAACGTTATATTGCAAAATATGACATGATACAGAAGAAAATCAATTTTAAAATCAGAAAATAACATTGCATATACTTCTTTTGGACAATTCAGTAACTCCCAATACATGTGTGTTGTTTAAAACACAATTCAAAAATTAACAGCAGTTTCATTAAAAAGTATTATTTACATGGACAAAATGTAAACAAATCTGTGGAGGGATGTTTAAGAGCTTCTGGGGCAGAGCCCTAACGGGATTCACTTATTTTTTCTTTTGGTAACTCATCTAGACCAAGACCTTTCTTTGGACACCTCTACCAAGTTTCTACGCCCAGTCATTCTCTCAAATTAATGGAGACAAAGTTTCCAATTAAATATTTAGATTCCCCCATGTTAATCTTAAGGGAGAAAATCCAACTTTAAAGGAAGATCCTGCCCAAACTAATAAAGATTTCAAAAAACGAAAAAGACTTTGCAAAACTACAGATCAGGGCCATTCATTTGACACTTTAATCATCAAAATCGGTCCAAAAATGAGGGAGGAGTTCTGTTTACAAAAATCGGCTTAGCGTATTATATATATAGATGGTGGTTTGAATTTTTGTTTACAAACATAATACAGTCAAGAACATATAATCCATAAACAGTAAGAATTCTTAAATGTTTAAAGGCTTCTTTGCTGAATCATCGTTGTTTATTTTTAACATAGCTTTGATTGATTGCTTCAGTATTGTCAAAATTTTGTCTAGATTCGTTTTTGAGATAGTTCCATATACACATATACCATAAGATATATGGGATTGAATTTGGGGGAAATGAATCATTTTAAAACTTCAATACTGCATAGTTTTGACATTTTTTTAATCACAAAAAGAATGGAGGTTATTTTATTCAAAATAAGATTAAAATATTGGTCCCAAACTCCCAAAACAAATTACTATCCAAGGTCAGAAGGAACCTTACAGCTTCTGATATTTCAATTGGTTGGTTTTGTACTTCAATATTGGGATTGATATTATTCTTATTTTGTTTTGTTTTGAAAGTGACACATTTAGTTTGACTTATTATTAAAAATATAAAAATCCTCAATACAAGCTATTTCTGTTATGGATAACAACTCTACATCTACTGCAGTTTTTTCCAGATACTTTAGGATTAGAGTAATCTGCATAGCTTAATGTAAACTAACACTATGACACTGATGACTGTGTATTGTCAACAACTAAACACTTTAAGTAGGTGTCTAAAACATGCAGCTTGTCATGTTGTACAGGAGACTTCACAACCAGTGTTGTTTAACAAGATCGGCAGCCTTCTCTCCAATCATGATGGAAGGAGCGTTGGTGTTGCCTCTCACAATGTCTGGCATTATAGAAGCATCAGCAACTCTGAGGTGTCTCACCCCCCTCACCTGCAACTGCGGGTTGACCACGGACATAGGATCATCAGCAGGTCCCATCTTGCAGGTGGAGGTGGGGTGGTAACATGTCGTCACAAAGTGTTTAAGAGAACAAATTCTGAAGTCTCTTGAAGACACCACATACTTGGAGCAAGCAGGAGCAACGATTTCATGAAACTTGGTGTCCAACGATTCCATAGCTTTGGTTGAGGCTAGCTTTGATAGAAATTCAGTGGCACGTAAAAGTGTTTCTATATCTTCATTGTCCGATAAATAACCTGAAATAATTTTGACCTTGTCTTTTGGATTTGTTGACTTTAACAATATCCTCCCTTTACTGCGAGGTTTAAGTAATGTCGGAAATACCATGGATATAAATCTTTTTGAATTTAGTTCCAAAAATGATTTACCCACTTCTTCTCTTAACCCAAGCATTCTCAAAGTCATTGTAAGTGCAAGTTCATCTTTCGCATCAAAATCAAAATGATGGAATTGAATATCTGGGATTTTGGAGGAGATATCAAGAGTGTTGATGAATCCTGAGTAGGTCAGCATTCCATTGCCTGATAATTTACCAGATCCTGTCATTAAAAAGTCATACATATAGTTGGTAATCGGCTTAAGCTGACGGGAGTAGTTGTATGAAAATACCAGGCCAACCATCAACATGTGATCTTGTAGGTTGTGTCCAACAGGCAAGTCTTCTACCACATCAATTCCCAGTTCCTCCAAATGTTCTTTTGGTCCTATTCCTGAAAGCATGAGAAGCTGTGGAGAATTTATAGCTCCTGCGGACACTATTACTTCCTTCTTTGACCTGACTCTTACTTCGGCACCCCTATAGTTGATAATTTTTGCTCCATTTGCCTTCTTAGAATGTTTATCAATTAAAATTTTTGCAACTAGTGAATTTTTTGAAACTTTTAAGTTTTTACGGGTTTTGATTGGTTTTAAAAACGCTTTGGCTGTGCTACATCTTCTGCCTCCAACAATTGTTCCTTGCAGCTTAGAAAATCCCATTTGAGAATCTCCGTTACAGTCGTTGTTTACTTTGTATCCGAGTTCTTCCATTCCTTCTGCGTAGGTGTCTACTAACTCTGACATATAGTCTTTTTCAAAAGTACCTACAGTTAAATACCCATCTTCTCCGTGATAATCTCTGTAGTTGTTGTGTTCCAAGACTTCCTTTGCTTCAACTTTTTCACTCTTCTTAAAGTATTTTAGAACACTCTCATAGTCCCACCCTTCATTTCCTGCCCTAGCCCATCCATCATAATCTTCTTTATTTCCTCTGACATATAGCATAGCGTTAATTGTGCTGGAACCCCCAAGAGCTTTTCCTCTGGGCCAGTTGCAGCTGTTGTTCACCATCGCTAGACAATTGTCTTCACCAGAGTCAGTTTGATATTGCCAGTCATATGAAGTCTTCTGCAACGCACCATACAATCCTGGGATTTCTGTTGATTTTGCTGGGTTTCCACCAGCTTCCAGCAGCAGGATTCTCCAGGAAGGTACCTCAGATAACCTGTTTGCAATCACAGATCCTGCAGATCCTGATCCTATGATGATGAAATCGAACTCTTCCCCATCCTGAGGTCTATAGTGGTCTGGATAATCTGATGGGTTTGCCAATGAACATTCTGCTTCTTTGACCGATGAGTGTATGTCTTGTATTACATAGCTGGCCAAGTCTTCTATGTTATGGGTTGAACATGTCTCTTGTACCGGTAGTGTGAATTTTTCTCCTTCCATGGCTCTGGGGAAAAAATCTCAGCGTTAACTTACTTCTTACTGACATTAACCACTTCCAAAAAAACAATCTTGTATACAAATAATTTACCCTAAACAAATTTATAAATAAAAAGGACATAGATAGTTTAATTTGTTTCAAACAATATTCTGCAAAGCACAAATTTTTCCACAGAAATACTCACTATCTCAGTGTAAGCCTTAGGCTTATCACGACATTTTCGGGTAAGAACATTTGCCACCTCTATCTTATCACTCTAACCTAGCAGCAATGGCTTTCCCGAGTGACTACCTATCCTTACTGTATGAAGGTACTCAGCAGAAGGGTTTTTTGTTTCTCTTTTGCAGGGCCATTGGCATTTTCTAATGTATTTTGTGAGGCAACAGTCCAAACCCAGATCTTTTTGTTCAGAGGTATTGTTCATTAATAGCCCAGTGACAAAATGACGTCTATGTCCACAATTGATGTCCTACTCGGCATCAAGATAGCAACCATCGGTTATTAAGGCAAGAATTATAAATACAACAGACATAAGTTTTTGTCTGCTTCTTGACTATTTTCTTGTGGTTTTGAATTGATAACTAAAATGTCATTTTCACTTAGAAAGAGGAGATTTAAAAAAATATAGATTTTTCCTACAGTTCCCTAACAATGTACATGTTCTCTCACTGATTTGAGAAAGCAAAGTGGCCAGTTCGCTCATCAGTGAGACAATGTTAACATTGTCTCACTCTAATTACTTTGTCTCACTCCAGATTTGCAACGAGAAGGCACGAAATAGTGAGTGCGTAACATGTAGGCAACGTCGTATGCGCGCGAAATACGTTGGCAGCACTGGCTGTAAATCAGCTGGTCAGCTGTTGTACTGTTGTTTGTTACTTCACATTAAATGTTATATTAAAAGTTCACTTCTGTGTAAAAATAGGTTATGTTTCTTCACCAATTTATTTGTTTTATGGTAACTGTAGGAAAAGTATAGTGTGCAACTCGAGTTCAAAGTACAATTGCCTCACTCGAGAAACCATTCCTCACTCGCCTACGGCTCGTGAGTAAGGATTTCTCTCGAGTGAGTCAATTGCTCACTTTTCTCACTAGTTGCACAAATAACTATTTCGTGTGAGATTCTGAAGAATATAGTTAAAACATGGCCTTAAAAGCCATTCTAATTCAATATTTAAGGACACACACAAGCAGGGCTCCAGGAATCTTTTTTTGGGTAGGCCTGACAATTATAAGGACCAAGAAGGAGTTTGATCGGGGGTCAGTAATTTATCAGTAATTTATTTATCAGTAATTTATTTATTAGTAATTTACTTATTTATTTATTTATCTATAAGTAATATAGTTATTAAAAACCAGTTTAAAACTATTTCAATTGTTAATATTTTTTTATGTGCATGTATCAAAGTTGTATGCTGTTTGCTGTAGGGTAGTTGTCATGCATGTAATTTATGTTATTGTGTATTAGTGCCTCATGTAATTTGCTGTTAAGCTGTATAAGAGCACTTAATAAAGGATTTTGAATTTGAATTTTGAATTTTGAAAAAGGTTTGAGAGGGGCTTCCCTGCAAAGAGGGGTGAATTTTACAATTCAAATGCAAACTAATGAGTTTGAATGATTGCTTTTTCTTTATTTACATATAATTAAATTTTTGTATTTATTTATGATTTTCAAATATCTACCAAAATTTTAGGTAAGCCTACCTGGCCTGACCTCTGGAGCTGCCCCTGCGACACAAGCCCTATAACAGTTACTTAAACAATCATTTGCTTGTTGCAGCATTTAAATTTTTTATTAGTTTCTTTTAGTAGCCTAATTTGAATGTTTTATCACTTAAATTATTTATTGATTTTAGGTTAGTCTTTTGCCTGAGCCACTGTGATAATCTCTATGTACCGGTACCGTACCTGCTTTTTTAAATTATACACAAGTTTTTATGTATTTAATTATTCAATAAGTTAACTTAGTTACCAAAATAATTCTTTACCAGGTGCATTTGTCTGAACTGAACTGCTTATTTATTTATTTATTTTATTGTCTGGAAACCTTCAAAACCAATTGTCTTTCATGCTGTAGCACTAGTGATGTTTTCAGTTGTCTTTAAGGTATTTATATTATTATATTTTGACAAAATCTATTGTATCTCATGTTATTTAATGATGAATAAAGATTTGATTTTATTTTGATATATGAACTTTAACCCAAAGACCAGCGTACCCCTGTCTCTAATGTTGTAGAGGCAAATTATGGTCTCCAGTATACTTGGAAGTGATAACTCTTATTCAGCTTAGGTAAACTTATGACATTGCAAGAACATCACAGACTTACAGACCACACAGAGTTCCCTGTTTGAATATGATATACTGGTCTGCATAATATGGTGTGAAAGTTGTAAATGATGTAAAAAATATAATTCCATCAAGCAATATATCATATTCAATACGTTTAAATAATACAGGGTTAGGCAAAAGTTTGGAACCCCCCAGTTAACTTTTTAACGCCTTGCAGTACAAAAACCAAACTCGGCACATATTCACAACATAAGAAATTGCACTTTTTCATCAAATTCACAACTTTGCCCCAGCCCCAAAAATGGGATATTTTGGGGGCAGCCCAAAATTTTCAAATGTAAACACCTATCATGAGACCCCTCATTTTAAAGGGTTTCTAAAGACAAATTAAATGGTGCAAACTAGAGGTCAATCCCTTATGAAAAAGTTTATATATGGCCATATAAATTTTTTTTTATCCGGTTATATTTGGTTTTGGACCAAATATAACCAGATATGATCATGTATGGAATCCCCCATGTATGGAAATTTTTATATGATTATATATGGAATCCCCCATATATGGAAATTTTTAAATAAAAAATATATAAATAAATAAAAAAATAACAATTCAACATATTTTCACATTAAATGGTATAAACTATGAATTAAAACTATAATAAAAATTTTAAATTCAAAAATTTCAAAACAAAATCCTCATGCATCCGATTGGGATTTGAACCCGGGACTCCAGCGTGAGAGTCCGCCCCGTTAGCCACTACACCACAACCGCTTCATATCAGATGTCTTAACAAAACCCATTAAGAATATGAGAAGCTGTATTTGGTCTCCTAAAACAAGTCAGACATTTTATGTCATTTGAAGAATGTTATTATTAATATAGCCAAACTACGTGACATTGATATTTGCGGCTAATTGATATTAAAGGTACAATTAATTAATTATTAATATAATATTCTCCTTATTTAGGCCTACTACACTTACAATTTTAAAATTATACGTCAGTTTTAAGATTATGTTGCGTTATAATAAAATTGTACAATAGATGTATGTACAGGATTTTGTCATCTGGGTTCAAATCTGGATACTTTATTACTTTACTACTAATTACTTTAAGGAGAAATGCCTATATATTATCTGCCCCCCCTACTGTACCACATTTCAACTCAATCAGTTCAGTAGTTTGTGCTTACGAGAGCAACAATAAAATACACAAACTCACAAACTTTAACATTTATAATATTATAAGAAGTGTTTGGAAGTCCAGTTACATAATCCAAATGTGGCAACAATTCCTTATAATAATTCCAGTTATTGTCAAAAACTCATTTATAGGCTACATGAGCATAAATGGAAAATTATTATTCCATATATGAGTAATTTGATTCCATACCTGGGCATATATGACCATATATAGACCAAAATTCCATATATGGAGGATATTTATGGCCATATATGGGCAATAATTTCATATATAGAAAACATGTATGGCCATATATGGACAATAATTTCATATATAGAAAACATGTAAGGCCATATATGGCCAATAATTCCATATATAGACTACATATATGACCATATATGGACACCACCATATATGGATACAACCATATCTGGTCATATATGCTTCCATATATGGTCATCAAAAACCATATATTGCTTTATAAAAACATATATGGAATTTTGATATGGCCATATATGGCCAGAAATTACTTTTTTATAGGGGATATCGCACCCCTAATCAAAATGCCAGTCATTTTGAAATATCCCCTATTAACTTTTTAACAGGTTATAGCAGGAAAACTAAACTCAGCATACCTTTATAAGAAAAGAGAATTCACCTTTTGGTCAGTATTAAAATATTAATTTTTTAAAGTTAATTGGGGGTGTCCAGACTTTATCTTGCCTGCTCATCTTAAATAATTAAAATGGCTGCCATTTTGATTAGGGGTGCAATATTGACCTCTGGTTTGCGTCTTTCAATCTCTCTTGATAAACCTTTTAAAATGAGGGGTCACATGATAGGTGTTTACATTTGAAAATTTGGGGCTGCCCCCAAAATACCCCATTTTGAGGGGCTGGGGCAAAGTTGTAATTTTGATGAAAAAGTGCAATTTCTTATGTTGTATATATTTGCCGAGTTTGGTTTTCGTACTGCAACACGTTAAAAAGTTAACTATGGGGGGTTCCAGACTTTTGCCTACCTCTGTACCTATAGTTTTGTTTTTAAATGTTCAAATATCCATTTTTTTATTCTGACACTTTTTGTTGAGTCCGAACTAAAAGAAAATAAATAGGTCCACTGATGTCAATCTTATATAGTGTTTCCAATTACTACTACAGTTTCTAGGATCGATGCCTCATTATCACCTGGATGCCTCATTAATATCAATTGTTATGTTCTATGTTAAATTTTTGCCTTTGTCACGAAATTAAATAACCACAAACATATGGGGTATAGTGACATACATACGCACAAAATTTTCACACGTGATATTTCACTGGGTTGACTGGTGAAAAATTTAAAAAAATCCTGGATGTATGCGGAAGAATGCTGATGCTGTGCGCAAAATTATACAACTGAAGCCAGGTTTGAATGAGTCATCCTTGGCCTTGAAATTCTTAAAATTCTTGAAATTCTCATTTTTGACCCTCAAAACACCAAAATTTCCCAATTTCTCTCTAGACCTTATCAAAGAGCTTAAAAAAATAATTTAGTATATTAAAGTGTTTTTTAAAATTCCCATGATATTCTTATGGAGAATGTTGTCAAATGTTGTAGTTTGCTTGTTTATGGATATATTTTGATCAAACTTGCTAAATTTAGGCTATTTAATTTAATACTAAGCTATTAATATTTTACTAAAAAAAACACACTTTATCACTTTACCTATAGCAGCAAACCTAGATACTCTTTAAACCTAGTGTTATTTAAATAGATTTAATTAAAAATCTATTAAGGCAGATGGAAATCTGCTTAGTCAGCAGTTTTGCTACGGCAGGGTATTTAAACTTAAGACATTGTTGCTTACATAATTCAACAAGCTAAACTACATTAAATGTTCTTCAGATTTTCTAAAATTCTCTACAGTCTACGCTTTAAAAAATGTATGCACTTACCCACAAAAAATGTGTAAAAGAGCGGAGAAAATAATAAAATATCTCTTCATTGCAATAAGTATCACCAGTTTACTACAAAACAGACAAAAAATAACTTTAGTGATTTAAAATCAAACAAACCAGTATAAAACAAGTGTGAAGCATTATAATTTGAAACAATGATAACACCAACTAAACCAAACAACCAAAAGGGTAAAGGTTAAAGAAGTCATTCAAGATAAAACAAGGAGAATGACTGAACACAGCTCATATAAATGTGTTATTCACTACTTGTGTCAAATAGTAAGTTAATGTTGAAGTTATAGTTAGTTTTTTAAGATTAAAAGTTTGATAAAATTAGAATAAGTTGACAGAGTTTGATACACAGTTTTTGTATTTCCATAGTAGGCTACAAATTATAAGCTGAAAACAATAACAAATAAATTCTAACCAGCTGACATTTAGTACGTGTTAATTTAATCATAACTATGCCACTCAGAATGACTATGTCTAACTACATCAGACAGAACTATCTAAGAATTAAAGATCCAAAACCTAATTCTACTACTTTTATTTATCACCATTGGATTTGTGATCTTTTATTATGAAACTCGTCACAATTATGAAATTATCTTCAAGAACTCAACCATCGAGATCGTCCAACCGAAGAATCACTGCATCAAACAAGTTTGTAGTTCTACAGTTTGCGACACCGTCGATATGGACTTTGAAGTTCTAACAGCGTACAACTGCTGCAACTGTTCTGGCCTTCCTTTCACCTTCGCCACCATTGAAGAAAATTTAATTGGCAATTATGCTATCGTGTGTGATGTCCCAAAAAGCATGGAAAACTACTCCATTTATGACATCCAAGACATTGATACGCCGCCGCATCTTCGTGGAACATGGCAACTGAAGAGGACCAACACCTCGCCATCGCTTGTCTTCCACATCATTGGGAAAGAACATGTTAATAAGTACTAGCAATTAAGGTCACTGACCATCCACCCAGACGTCAAAGTGAATACAATACAACGACGTTCTGATCAGGGCTGCCCACCCGTCTCAAAAACAAATTTAAGAATGGGATCAAGTCACAAGCCGACGCCAACTCCAGGATTTCCGCCGTCACGTCAGCAACTGATCTAACGCAATCTCTGATTGCTAAAAATTCAGAATGTTCAACCTAATTGGATGAAGAAACCACGCTCTGCTGCGCATGTCAAAAAGTTAGTTGTTAAAGTTGAAGTTAGTTAGTTTTTTAAGATTAAAAGTTTGATAATATTGGAATAAGTTGAGAGAGTTGATATTTTGTTTATTTTGTTGTTTATTTTGATAATGAAAAAATAAATCTTGGCAACACAGCTAAATTTTTAGGAATTGATGTAGATAGTTTATTGAATTGGAAGAATCACATTCATAACACCTCTAAAAAGTTAAATTCAGTATGTTTTCAAATGTTGGTCTTAAGAAATGTTGTTGATTTAAACACTAGACTAATGATTTATCACGCTTTATTTTCGTCAATTTTACAGTATGGAATAGAGCTTTGGGGCGTCACATCTGATTCGTATGAACTTTTTAAACTTCAAAAAAGAATACTTAGAATTATGACTTTGAAACCCGTAAATCATTCTTGCAAACACTAAAGATTCTAACCGTCCCTAATTTGTATATTCTTAAATGTTTATTGTATGTGAAATCAAATTTTGAAAAACTCCACAGTGAAAATAATCGGCACAATTTTAACACTAGATTTCATACAGATTTTCAATATCCTATACACAGATTAAATCTTGTGGAAAGGACACCTTCTTATATGGGTAAAAGATTTTTTAACAATTTGCCTGGATACTATAAATCTATAATAGGATTAATATCTTTTAAAGAAAAAATTTTTGAATTTTTGTTGGAAAAGAATTATTATAGTATTGATCAGTTTCTCGAAGACAAATCAATGTGAATTGTTTGTTTTGTTACCTACTATGTATTTATTTTTACCAATATAAGCTAGTTTATTTTAGTATAGTTTGACAATGTCACCTGTTTTGTCTGGCTGTGCCAGAGCATTTAAAAAAAAACGTTTTGTGACAATAAAGACGACTTTGACTTTGACTTTGAGTTTGATACACAGTTTTTGTATTTAAATAGTATCAATTAATTATAAATTTAAAACAATAACAAATAAATTCTAACTAGCTGACATTTAATACGTTAATTTAATCCATGCCTTGGCACAACTTGTCTAATGTAAAATTTAATCACTCAGGTTTTGATCTCATAATAGTCTTTCAATGACAATGACATTTCCCCCTTTCACTAACACGTACAAAACACAGGGGCCCATCCCCCCCTAGACTCATGACGCCCCCCCAATTGAGCAACAACCCCCCCCCCCACCATAAATGAGGTACACAACAAATGAGAAACATTATTCCCCCGCCCAGCACTATTTGTAAAACTAAAAGGTGTTTTATAAATTTTTTTAGATATTGAAAATTAAAACCCAGTTAATCTATATAAATAAAGTTATAATTTTTTCTGTACATTGCTCAGAATTATACATATTTTGGGTTATTTTTACGTTTTAGGCTAGGATTATACTAGGACGCTAGCGTCCGAGAGGCTGGCGTCCGGGACGCTAGCGTCCCACTTCGAGCCGATAAATTACGTGATTTGTGTTGGGACGCTAGCCTCTCGGACTGCCATTTTATTTCAATGTTTTGTAAATTTTTTATATCTATTTAAATAACATTAGGTTTAACGAGTACCCAGATTTGCTGCTTTAAGGAGGCTAATATTGTGTGTTTTTAGTAAAATATTAATAGCTTAGTATGAAACAAATTGGCCAAGTTTGACCAAAATATATCCATACACAAGCAAATTATTTTCCATAAGAATAACATGGGAGTTTTTAATTTACCCTTCTTTGAATTTTATCCGTAACGAATAACCGTACAAAAACACTTTAATATAACTTACTTAATTATATGTTTTTAAGCTAATTAAAATTACCTAGGGAGAAATATGACAAAACCCCTTTTTTACCCCATAAAACCCCGTTCCCAAGGAGGCACAAAATCGAGCGTCCGGTGGCTTTTTTAGCATCCGACGCTGGCATCCCTAGTATAATCGCCCCCATTTGATTTAATGCCCCGTTAGCGTCCCGGACGCCAGCCTCTCGGACGCTAGCGTCCTAGTATAATCCTAGCCTTATACATTGAAGAAGTTGAAACATGTCTTATCTCAATTTATGTCCATCTGTCACGGCCCAGAAGGCATTTTACGTATCCTAGTCTAAAGGAAACTAGAGTACCGATTATGATTCTAATGGTTGAATTGTATTCACAGGATTGGCGAGAGTGTCCTTAGCCATTAAAATATGGCCTCACTATTTTGGAAATAAAATAACGGACGATCAAAAACCAAACTTTGTGTGATTTTTCTAGTATTTTCCTCCATGTTTACTACATACATCATTTATGAAATACTAATAATCTGTTAAGAGAACAGGTCATATAAGAGAATTAGAAACAGCTGTTTTGATCAAGATTCCTTTTTCTAGATGTCACTGATATGTTTACATAAATGTTGTTTACGAATACTGTGTAGGCCCTAACCATTTCCGATCACGTTTGTAAGCAAATCCAAAACCAAGTGAGATTAATAACCGCGTGGATTTGGCTTACATAAGGGGTTTGATATATCACGGGTACTAATATGTAACTGTAAATTAAATTAAATAACTAGCTATCATCCAGGTCGGGAACCGGAGATTCTGTGTGTAAGTTGTACTGTATATACCCTCTCATTGGGGTAGCTCCACCATATATAAGGAGAAACGTGGCAGCCGCAGTAGAACTACAGAAGCAAATGACCGACCACCGTCATCCACTATATGGGCATCAACAGCAGCCCTATAGACTCAGGTCAAGAAAGAGTTTCCTCAAAACCACTGAGATACATTCAGTAACACCGGAAGTATTAAGGCTTCAGCTATGGAGGCAGGAGGCTCAACAGCCACCAGTACAACTCAGAGAGGAACTCCCTGCAGGCTGTCACCTGCCTTACCCCACATGGAGGACCCTAAATAGATTGCGAAGTGGGGTCTCGAGGTGCAAAGTAAACCTCATGAGGTGGGGGTACTATTAAGGAGAACCAAACTGCACATGTGGGGCCCCTCAGGACCATGAACATCTACTAGTTTGTCCAGATATGGACAGAACATGCTCCTGGCTCGATCTTAAGGAGGCAAATGACGAAGCCATATATGTGGCACATTATTGGCAAAATAATATCTAACTGAGCTGGTGTTTTTTTCCGGACGCGGAAAGTAAGTAAGCTCCTTTGATGAAAATGAAATGGAAACAGTAATTATTTACCTATTTTGCCTGAAGGTCTTGTAGTTAACACTCGATTAACACTCGATGCGCATTTCGCCGCTCAGTGCGGCATCTTCATAGAGTATCTTCTTAAACACTACTGTTATTATGTACATATTTACAACATATTTTCCAGTCACTAACCGGTCACATTCGCGGTCGCGGTTGCCCGGCGGCGACACGAGCGACGGGGTACATTTCGTTCCGCACTGTTGACGTGATAGACTTGTACTGGATCTGAGTGGTTGACAGTGACAGTGTTATGATCAGGGGGTGTAGTCATTGTTTGTAAGGGATGGTCGCTTTCACTTTTGCGCTGTTGCCATTTTAGTGCGGTGTTGCCAGATCGTTGGGTTTCCTCTATGTTTTGAATGAGGTTAAACAAAATGGAATTATGGTAGTCCTCTTTCTTATTTAGGAGGGTGTCAGGGTTAGTGTTAATTTGCTTATAAATTTCGTAACTTTCTTTGACTATTGCAGTAGATTTGGAGTTGGTTTTGTGGAGGATCTGTAATGACTCAGGATAAATAATTTTGTGGCCATGATTTTCTTTCAGGTGTTTGGCTACTATTGAGCTAGGGTTGGTATGATGTTGAGTGTTGTGTTCTTTGAATCTTTTGCTGAAAGTTCTGTTTGTGTAGCCGATATATTGTTTATTGCAGGGGGGCGCACATGTAATTTTATAAACTCCTCTCTCATTATCTGGGTTATCTTTGATGGCTTCCTGTTTGTAAATGGGCACCGGATTGGTTT